TCAATGTATCCGTCTCGCTTAAACGATGCTGTTCTTTGTTGATGAATTTTACAATCGAACGACGAATTTCACACGCATTTGTAATTTCGCAACCGCATTTCTCATTATTACGAAGAACGGCTTGTTTGGTGGTGTCCATTCTCATTAATTCCGCGCGATCTAATCCGATCATAGTCTTTGCGATCGACAAGCATGTCGACTGACCGACCCTGATCGAACCGCGTCGAGAATAGTATTCTGATTCGCGTGCAAGGATCGACTTTCGCTCCGTACATCGTCGCACGCGCTCTGCGCAATCTTGCATCTCGATGTTACCTATGCGCGATCTCGTTTCTGCGAGAGAATCGTGTTTCCTATAACACCTAGGCACAGGTGAATAGAACTTATGTGTGTGTCTATGTAGAGGTTGTAGACACGCGAATTAATCTAGTTCAGACCGGAGCGAACCGATTCTTCTTCCCTCTTTCCTCTCACAATTGAGAAGCGCGCTCCAATTATTATATTATTAATAGTTTCAAATATCCATTTATAATAATGGCATTGATTGTTAGATAATCATATTTTGATCCACTGCTGTAATGTAAAATAGGATGTTAAAAAAGACCATGTTTTTGCTCAATTTTCAAAAGATTCTTTAAATCTTACGAATTTTTTTAGATTTATCATATTCAGTCAAGATTTATAAAAAATATTTCTTTTCTTAAGTTTTACAGCTTTTTTCTATCTTTTATTTACATTTATCACAATTGGCCCGTTTTAGTATCCTCTTTTTACATGTTTTGAATATCGTTTATCATAGTGCCTTTTAATTAAAAAGTATATAAATTTTATTTAAAAATATTAAAAATATATTTTTTGATAATAGCATGATTACATCAAATGAATTTCTATCACTAAATTACAAAATAAAAATTAAAAGTTTTTTTAATAGTTTATTTGAAAATGTTAATATTATTTTCGATAATATCTTTAATTTTTATTTTTTAATTTTAGAATCTTATGTTTTCGAGCAAAAAAATGAAGTTATACTGCAATTACAGTAATGATTTTAAATGCTATTATAGTTGTTAGAATAGTTTTTTATAATTTACGATTATTTTATGTTACGATCAATTAACGAAATTATTAAGAATTTCCTTCTCTCTGTTGGACAACACAATGGACTTCACACGCATTCCAACTATTTAATTCACATTGTATAACACATTCACGAAATCTTGCAGAGTCAGCCAATACCTTCAGATCGTACCGCGAATACTTTCACATGCGATTCCTCATTGAAGCTTTCTCTCGCATGTTCTCTGTCGAATAAGAGGAAACAAAACATACTTATCCATTTGTTGATTGATAAGAATCTAAGTGGACCACTTATCTCAAGAAAATCTCCAAAACGTGTTGCGAACTATGGTATAAGAGTAATCGGTGATTATGAGATGCTAAACGGAAAACGAGCGTGAATCAGATAGGAACGAGATACTTGGTCCACATGCTCTTGCGTATTCTGACCTGGTTTTTATCCAACCCGAATAGTCGAGTTCTGATTGAACTAAACCGAGCTATAAATCATGGTTTAACGTAACATCTACTTACACGTACATCTACGATCATTTTACTTAAACGTTGCCGACAATTAAAGTTGTCAATGGAACAAATTTATACAATACCATAATAATACCATAAATAGGATCTGAATTAAATGACACAACGATTGAAACAAATATTTAACAACTGATAAAACCTGTTGTTAACAATTTAAAATTAAATCTTGAATTAAGATCATTTTTATTCAAAAATTTATTACGTTCAAAAAACAAAAAGTTAATTAAAAATAACTTGTAATAGAATGAAAACTAATTTGTAATAGGAAGTAACAATTTCTGTATCTTCTTTTATCTTATATATGATATTTCTATTGTAACTAATTTATATATGACTTTATATCTGTACAAAATTTACAAGTATTATTGAGAAGAACGTGAGAAAAGATCTCTCCTATTATCACGATTTAGTGACCAAAAACTACTTTCTTATTCCTTTTCAAATAATGTTCTCACAAATGGGAATTTGATTATTTATATCATGAAAAACAGATGAAACTAACAATAAGCAAGACTACCATCGATTATAAAATAATCCATAGATTTAGAAACTTGTTAAGCATATATAAGCTGGTAACTATTACTGATATATAAATCGCACTCTCTGACACTTTCTTATTCTTCTGATAATATCCGTTTCACAGGAGAACATTGCCGTCATTTATTATATCACAGTACTCTATCATATACATGCCGACCGTTGTGATTCACACTTGCCGAGACTGGTTTGCATCCTACATTATTGTATCCTGGTAGCGTATATTACTCCACATGTTAAGAGCTTGTTTCTAACAATAAGGATGACTCATACTTTAAATTGACTAATTACAAAGTTTAATTTAGAACATTTGTGACGCTTGTAATAATTCTATTAAATCGCTTATATTTAACTGCATTTTAAATCTAATTATATTATTTAAAATATAAAAGACAATTTATATTTATATATAATTATTTATATATATATATATATTTATCAATTAAAAAATTAAGAAGTTTACTAGAAAATATAATTATTATTTTTATACATTTTTATTCATATTATTTTTAAAAAAATCAATACATAGAACACTATGTGAATGAAGAGAATTTCAAGTTACATCTTTAATTATGAAAATGAGAAAATACTGCGCGTTTTCATTAATCACAGCTAACATTAACAGGGCTTGGCAGGTCTTTATCTTTATTTGTCCTTTATGACTTGACTTTACTGTGTTAAAATCCATTTGTTATAATTCGCCAACAGCTCATTGTACGTGCACGCAGAAAGTGAGAGGACGTAAGCTTCTCGTAACTCGTAATAGTGCCCGACATTACTTTCACAATGAGAGCAAGGTCTTATTTTCTACATTGATGGGTTTCGGTCTTTTATTTCTATTGGCGTGCTTTATTTCAGTGTCCGTTTGTATGTTATGTATGGAAATGTTAAATAATTTTTAAATGTAATTTATATTCATGCAAATCTACAAAAGCGAATAATTGCTCGTGCATTTAATTAATGTGAAAAGATTGATTATGTAAATATTATGATAATTTTCCATTCAATCTGAGAAAAACGCAATTTTCGAATAAATATACCTTGAAATGAATTATAAAAAAACATCTATGACATTTGAAAAGAATTTTGTTACATTTGTAGAAGGCGAATGAGAATTAAAAAATAGAAAATTAAAAAGTAGTTTTATATTATTTATATTATTTTCACATATATTGAAATAACATTAATAATATAATATTATATTATTTTTATATATTTCATTTTTGAGGGAATAAATGATATCAATGAAACACTAGAAATAACGTTGGTAATATCAACATCGTTTTTATCAACATTCTATAGCAGTGATTCTAGATAGAGAAGAAATCTTTATTGAAATGTAATACATTTAGAATATGATAACATCTATTGCATCTATTACAAACAAGCTTATAAAATTTATCGAATTTTTATACTATTTATTTCAGTTCAGTATTTAGTTCAGTTATTAAGTACTCATAATATTCAGTAATTCTTAATAATAAAAATTTAGTAAGCTACTCAAGTTCGATTTCGATAAAATTTTAAATGTGCAGTATTAACTAAATATAGTTGAATCCATAAATGCGGAGTTGCGGAAATATTTAATTTTTGAAATATTGAAATTTTATTTATTCCGCTTAATTAAAATTTTGGTACTAAAAAATAATTAGAAATAATTTTTATTTAATATTTTTACATCAGTATATTGAGAAATTGTAAGTACAATGTTAATACAAAATTATTTAAAAAAAAAGAATAAAAATTTCATTTTCCTATATTTTATTATATTATTAGTATTTAAACAATAGCAGGAAGTATAATTTAACATTATTTTTAATTATCTGTATTATTTGATAAATAATTTGTATAGAAAATTATTTTTTAATTTTCTCATCATATGTTGAGTCTTTTGTTAATCTTTACAAATTTGTTTTTTGTATGTAAGACATACCAAATGAATATTTGAAATAAACACACATGAAAAGTAGCACTATAAGTTTTTTGCAATTTCTGTACAATCAAGTGTTTCAAGTTCCTATATATTATTAAGATCAATTACACAAAATTTGAATTTAATTGACAACACACTTAAATTTTTCGCCTTCCTACAATAACGAATCTATCATATACTAAAAATAAACGTAAAGATTAGCAAAGACTCCTATATAAGATGAGTTTTATGAAATTAAAAAATAATTTTCCTGTACAAATAATTAATCAAACAACAGATAACTAATGTTTAATTTTGTAAAAATAATATTTAATTTTACCTCCTTTTATGTGTGTTTAAAATACTTATAATACAATAGAATATAAAAATATAAGACTTTATTCATTATTTTTTTTAAATAATGAAAAAAAATAATAAGACTTTAATGATAATGATATAATATTAGGTGTTGGAATTAATTCGTAGCGTTTTTAATGAAAGAATGTTATTTATTTCACATGAGCATTAAAAAATACATTAATGAAAGTACTTCCCATCACTTGTAAAACGCTACGAATTAATTCCAACATCTAATAATATAAGACTTTATTCATTATTTTTTTAAACTTCATCAAAATTGGACTAGGATAGCTACTAGGATAGCTCAGACTAAAGTTGAGTGTTCTGAATTAATAAGCTTAATTAATAAGAGTTAGATAATGCATAATTGTAATGTTTTATCTTATTTAGATTATAAACGTGTTTTTATATTCAGTATAATATAATAAATTGAAAATATATACAGATTGCGTAAAATAATTTTAACATATCATACCTTTTAAGAAAATTAAAAGAGTTTTTCAACTTTGCATTTGTTCCATTTATTTTTATTTATCATATTTATTGTTAATATATTGTTATCGAATTTTTCATATCTTCAACTTTTTTTTTATTCTGATATAATTTACTTTTTATTTATGCGGGCTCTTAAGCCTTTTATGTGGATTCTGGGTTCGGTCCTGCTCCGAATTGAGACGTTCTACCTGTATCTGGTCCGGATAGGAGTCCTGTGTTCGAACTTGTTCCGTTCTAAGGCATTCCATTTGTAACAGTTGTTGTACTCGAACTTGTTTCGGTTTGAGACGTTCCACTTGTACTCGATCCGGACGAGGGTATTGTACTCGAACTTGCTCCGCTCTGAGACGTTCCACTTGTACTCGATCCGGACGGGGGTATTGTGTTCGAAGCTGGCCCGGATTGGCCCGTCATTCCTGACAGAGTCACTAAGTTCGATGACGTAGTTCCTATTGGTGTAGATATACTTTCCGCTGTTGTACCTGATTAGGGATTACCGATAATCAATTAATTAATCGAAATTTTCTTCCTGAAATATCAATTATCTATTATATTAATATTATTAAAATTTTATTAGTAGTTATTTTAAATTTGATATTTGATTGCATTGAATTTTTTAACTTAAATTTTAAACTGAATGATTTATCAGCACATTAAGTATTTTATATTTTATAACTCATAAGTAAGATATTAAGTTTTTTGTTATAAACAGTTATAAATGTATATATGGATATAAAACTTATAATTACTGTCGTCTTCATGCGGACTATGAAATTTATGCAATATATATGTTGGATCTAGCACCAAAATTATTAGATATAAAATTAAATTTTTGGAAATTAGATTAACTTATCCTAATAATTAGATACATTTTATTAATTTCTAAACTGAGTGCATTTAGGAATTCGTCCAGATAATTTTAGGCTTATAGTTTACGTATATTATAGCAAAATGCATACCATGCATCTGTGCGTAATTGCTAAACACACTTTTATAATCTCATCTAAAAATCTTAGGAAAGATGCGCAACTGATGACATGACTAGCTATTCTGTGATTGGTCAGCGTGTTTCTTGCTCTCAAGAATAGATATTGGTACGCACTAACTGACTTATATGACTCTTTTTGTGCTTGGCTTGTGTGATTTTTGCTCAAAGTCATACAATGTAATTAGTTGATGCATCTTTCCTAGAATTTCTATAATCTCATCTATAATATAGACATCAAAATTTCGTTAATAAAGGATCATGTTAATTAATATGAAATTAATAATTTCTGGATAATCATAAAGAAAATATAAAAGAATTATTCAATTACTTCTAATATTTCCATAAAATAAGCAATTATAGCTAATGAATATATTCTAGAATTTATTTTTAAATTATAAAAAACATATTTTTAGATCGTACATGTGAGAACACAATCAATACTAATTAGAAATGTCTATATAATTTAATGTGAATTTTATATATATTATATATGTACATATATAGTATATATACATACATATATATATATATATAAAATTCACATTGAATTATTTAAACATTAAAGATCTTAGCTTCGACCGATATAGACATTTCTAGTTCGTAACGATTTTTAAATGTTGATTTTTTATCTATAATCTCTAGGCATTATAAAATCGTAGTTACTGCAATTGATCTTACTTTCCGTTGTACTTACTTTGCGTTGTATGATGTGGTAAATACAATTCAGGACATTTCGCAGCACATAGAAGATTTAATAAATATGGCATGGTATCTGCAGATTTGCAAAACGAGTGACAAAAATGTTGACGTAGCTCATTTAGTTGTGTGAAACCAAATCTTCGGATTCGTGAAGCATGATTAGTCTCGGGTGAAACATAATGTTGAAATCCGCCGTTGAAATGAGATATTACATGCTAAATATTATACATATTATTTGTTAATTATATTCTGTTCTCTTCTCTTTCTTTCTCTTAACTTTAATTTTAATTTACGCCAACTGTTGCAAGAACAATATCTTATAATTTTTAAAGACGTTCTTAAATCTAATTAAATTTATTATTCAAATTTATCAGTTATAAATTAGAATTTAATAAACAATATAAAAGCATTATGCAAAGTCGTTTTATTATAAATTTATGTTTAAAAAAATTCTAAATTAATCTGCTTAAATTGATATTTTTAATTTAGAAGATACATAAATGCGTATTCAAATTTTATGCTATAATCAAACTATATTTCCTTTAGTTTGATAATATCTTTTTTATATTGATACAGTATATGTTCAATGATCTAATTTTTCGAAAGGTACAATACAAAAATAATATATATTATGAATAATTAATACAAAAATCTAATAATAAATTTTATTATTCTTATCAGTGCATACGGTATTACAGTGCATGATAAAAATGTAATAAAATAAATTATTTTCATAAATATTATTTGAAAAGCATATGTTTATAATTACATGTTATAATTACATTTATATATATTTATAGTATCTACTGATTTATATATTATATATATAAAATTTGTAATATTTTATATATATATATATATATATATATATATATATATTAGGTGTTGGAATTAATTCGTAGCGTTTTTAATGAAAGAATGTTATTTATTTCACATGAGCATTAAAAAATACATTAATGAAAGTACTTCCCATCACTTGTAAAACGCTACGAATTAATTCCAACACCTAATATATATATATATATATATATACAAGAAATATCAGAAATTTTTTTTGATACCTCTGACAAGACAGTTCCATACAAAATAAACAATCCAACCAAAATACTTAGATGTAACATTTTGTTCTTCGTTGTATTTTCTGTACAATTTTTTACTGCAACTATATGGAGTTGTTCGTTTTATATTATTATATTAGATGTACTTTGTTACACACTCTGTAACCGTTATAATCTTAAGCAAATTTTCTGCTCATTTATATAGACAAGAGTATGCACATTCTTAAAAATACAAACATGACAAAGCCGTATAACGTATTAGTCATTTTGCAGGATTTTCTTCACAGATTATGTATCTTGTGTGTTCCTTATCTTGTGTATTATATATTCTGAAAACAATGCACCGCATGACATATAAAGATATTTTATTATCACAGATGTTTCATTTTTAAACCTTTTAAATTTATATTTTACGAAATTAAATAAAAAAATAATTAATAAAAGACAAAGTAGAGACAAATATTTTATCATGTAGTGATTAAATTAAGGTTTAAAAAAAAATTTAATTGAAGATATTAATAAGTATATTAATAAAAATATAAAAGAAATTGATAGAAGTATATCAAATGCTATAAAATAAAATTAATTTTTAAAAAATACTTATTGAACTTTTCAAACAAAAGCGATAGTATAGAGATCATAAATGTGTGATTAAGGACAATTCTATTTTAAGAATTTTTTATGAAATGATTTGTCCTAAAAATGTTTGTATTCATAACTTAGAATCCTTCAATATTTTTTCATAATAAAGATTTAAAAATAATATGATCAAATTAATTTTTAATATTCAAGTTTTATATATAAAAATCAATTTTAAAAATATTAATGGATTGTAATTATTTAAAAAAAAACATATTACTTAGCAATATTTATTTACACGTACATATTTTTTTATCTTGTTTCTATAATACAAATATATATATATTAGGTGTTGGAATTAATTCGTAGCGTTTTACAAGTGATGGGAAGTACTTTCATTAATGTATTTTTTAATGCTCATGTGAAATAAATAACATTCTTTCATTAAAAAACGCTACGAATTAATTCCAACACCTAATATATATATATATATGTGTGTGTGTGTGTGTGTGTGTGTGTGTGTGTGTGTGTGTGTGTGTGTATGTATATGTATATATGTATTTCCACCATGTTTAATCATGTACAATATATTTTTTATGTTTTAAAAGACTATTAATAAAATGTATTGCTTTTGCGTACATGTTTAGCATTATAATTGTTGTTATGAATAATTCGAAAAACATTAGTAACAAAGTTTTCGCGATCTTTATTCTGTCATAAGAAATCATAATACGTGACTAGAATGTAAATAAGAATAGCGCTATAAAAATTAAGAAGGTCAAAACTATTTTTACTCATCATCCTTACTGTTCCAACACGTCGCTGATTAGTAGGATTAGCACAAGAAAGGTGTAGCTTTGCGTCAATATTTATCTTTATAACCTAGTTATATGCAACCCGTTCTTCGTTGTTGTATAAAGCGTGAATTTTTTTCTGCTTATTATGAAGTGATAACAAATATAAAATTTATGAACTGAAAGGTAATAATTACATATTTATCATTTAAATGCTTATAATCTTATTGAAAACTGTTATTTGAAAATAATGATAAAAATATGTGATAAACGATAAACTAAAAATAATATCATTTTCTATAATTAAAAAGATTAATTACTATAATAGTATTAATACAATGAATTTATATATAATAAATATGTATAAATATATTTTAATCATATTGAAACAAATAAATAATACAAAATTTAGTAATATATTTAAATGTCATACTTTACAATAAATAGAAGTTTATTTTTGACAATATCTAAGTAAATCTAAATAAACGAAGGAAAGATAAAATTTCAGAAAAAATATATACATTATACATAAAAATGATTGCTGCAAAACGATTAGAAATATTTCTAAAATAGTCATAATGATTGAAAAAAATAAATAAAAATGACAAAGCTTTTAATTCAAAATTTGTTTTGTTATCTAAATAAATTTATTTATTCCATTAAATTCCTTTACGATTGAATACTGATGCAATTAAATATAAATGTAATTCAACGACCTAATTACATTTTGTGGAATTAAAGAAATGACATTTAATTTTTTTACTGGGAAAATTCTTTTTCCGCAATTTTTCTTAAAAGCAAACATTCGGTCTAGAATATATATACGGATGTTGCTATGACCTTTCGCGGCGAAGCACGAAACTACGTCACGACGTATAGGAAGGTGCTGCCCGGTAGGAAGGTGATAGCCACGACGTGATCACGTTAGCAATGACGCTAGAGATCCCAGCGGGTCGATAACAATGAGACCGACAACGACTGCCCGAGAACATTTCAGGCGCCCTGGTCTCTCCTTCCAGAACCGTCGGCTTTTTTGTTGCCCACTCGTTTTTGCTCGTGCTTTTATTCTTTGTGTAAATCTTTTTCGACCACCCATCTACTCTCTTCCCTGGCCGCTCCTCCATTTCAATTAGTTAATGCCCGTGAGTAAAAAGGATGCCCCGCGATACGATGTATTCTTGGATTATTGCGGAAAAGAAATCAATCCGCTGAAAAGCGTCTTGGTGTAAGCGTCGTGAATTTATCTCGCTAATTCGGCACACCATAAAGATACGTACGTTTAAATGCGTAATCCTGGCGTCGATAATACAGAGGCATAATATTCGTGGATTACTCTTACCATCGGCTAATCGTTCGATACTAGTTTCCATTTAATTTCTAAGGAATGCAGCACCTTCAAGTAATTTGGAGAATTACTTCGATATTAGACATTTTTTCATTCTTTTTGTATTTCTCGATAATTATTGGATTTATTTTAAAAGAATGTAATATATTCTAATGTTGATCATCAAAATTGGCTCAGTCTTAGTACCACTTGTTGTAATTTGTGCTTTTAATAAAACAAATTATTTTGAATGCTTTTGATGTAGGTATATATAAGAGATAAATTGATATAATGTTCAAATTAGAGCTGCTCTCAATAATTACTACATATTTTTTATTTAAATCAATAAATGTTACAATTTTGATTTACGATATTAAAATTGTAAAATTCTCATTAATATTTTTGCTTAAAGAAATTTTAATTGACGTATTTCACGATAAATCTAGATAGTGAGAATTGAATCTAGATAGAAAGTATTGATACTATTATGTATCATGAAATTCCACTTGTTTCGCACCAGCCTCGGTGTCTGAACTGTCCTCAGAAAAAATCAGGAAGTATTGCTATGACGGAGATTTGTGCGATCGTCTGGTTAAACGTTTTATTCGATAGTCTATCGGCGTCTTTAAGCAGCGTGGAATTATTCGTGAAAGTAATTGGGACCTCTCGTTATGAAACTCGCGATCGTCTCTCAAGAAAGTAATTCAACGATGGTGTAAGATACTTTCGTAATTCTCAGCTGCATCCCTAATTGGGCCTGCATATGTCAATCGATTCTCTCCTTCAGTCAAGCATCTAGCTCGCGTTAAAATCGTGGGAGCGAATAATGCGCAGATGGCCCGACGTGTAAGATGAATCTTTCGTCGTTCTTGCGATCGATACGAAAGTGCAATCTGCAAAGTTGCGAATCCGAACATGTTCATAGTATGGGTCTCGAATGCTTTTCAATCTTAGAATATGACCGCGGAATCGGATTAAACTAGGGAACGTATTAACGACAGTCGATAATATGCTGTAAAATATAATATTATTACGCAGATTCTCTTAGAGATATTTAATGAACAACATGAATTAATCAACATACATAGTTCTCTATCATATTTAAAAAATAAAAAAGTTATTATATAATTATATAGTAACTATATAATTATTCACAAGGTATTGTTCTATTCTTTAGATTTGAATAACACATTATATTTACGTTACAAAGAGAGATTACATCATAAGTTATACATATTTACTATATTATATTATATTTACAATATAATTTAAAATATTATTTCAACCTTGCGACTCCGTCGATAACCAGCTCGACAAATCAATTCGGCTTTAAAATGAAATTTATAGAAATACAAGAAATAAATGTTGATACCGTTAAAAATAAAGAAAAAAAAAGTGAAAATGTTTTTATGTAATAGTGCATATCATTAACAAACACTGTTATAAATATTATTCCATAATAGTTCAAGCGAGTGATATTATTATTAGTGATATTATAATTGATGGGATGTTGAATAGTATGATTATTCAAATTCTAACGAAGAATACAAATGAATCAGCCAAAAAGGGAAAGAAAGAGAATTAATTCGTGTACGGGCACTTGATTGTTAAAGTTGATATCGTTATTCAAACTTAAAATAATAAATATAAAATAAAATAATTTAAATATAAAATAAAAAAAAATAATTAAACACTCTCATAAAATAATTTATGAGAGTGAAGACAATTTTATTGATGAAGAAGTTCCTACATAAGAATTTAATTTATTTTCCTTTTTTAAATAAATCCCCAAAATAAATTGTGTAAATGTCATGATGCCAAAAGCACGGTTACGTGTCATTCACTAATTCAAACTTGCATTATGAATTAACACAAACGGAGTAAAAAGACTTGATTATTCGCACGGACAGACTCATGTGCGGATTACAAGACTTAATAAAAAGATAAGCCCGTCAATGTGATTGAAGGCATCGCCGATGGAAGATTGCGGAGATGTAGTTCCTTGCGGAGGATTCCGCCGATACTCGGCTCCTTGACGTTCCTCCAGGGAGTTTCGGCCTTGCGACGGAGGGCGATAGTGGCGTAGGGTGCATACCGAAGGGAAGATGAGAATGGGCGAAGGAAAGGAAACTAGGGAAGGGTAGGCGAATAGATGAAGAGACTCGAGGTAGAAACGAAAAGGAGAAAGAGAGGGAGAGAGAAAGACAAAGAGACAGAGAGTGGGAGATGAGGGCGCATTCCCGGTCAGGAGCGTGGAAAAGGGCGATCGGGGAGGTTATGGGGTGGTGGCGTGGGTGTGCTAGTGGTACTGGTTCTTGCCGAAAGAGAGGGGGAGAGAGAGAGAGAGAGAGAGAGAATGTAGGAGG